ACATGTGTGACAAATTCACACATCCCTTGCTCGGCGAGCCCCAACTTTCCATATTTGAGAGAAGTTCACTGACCTTTGCAGAATCTTGGAAGTCTTGCATTCCAGATCCTTGGGTGCCACAAATGGTGTCACAGGGTTACAATTTGTTTCCTGCTGTCACCTCCAGTTTTTCAGCATCTCGGCAATTTGCCGATCTCCTCCATTGTGCGTTCTGTAGACTCTTGGAGCAAGGTGTCCCTCCTGCTAAACATTTTCAGTCCCTTTACTCCAACCTGTTCACCGTTTCCAAACTGATAGGGGGTATCCGCCAAACACTGAACCTCAAAGCCTTACGTTTCCAAAAATTCAGAATGGAATTAACCAGATCCCTTATTGCATCTCAGCATAAAGGGGACTTTCAGGCCTTGGTGGACTTAAAGTATGCTTCATTACACGTACCCAACTTTTCAGTGCTTCCTGCACTTTGCAATGGGACGTCTGCATTACCAGTTCATGGCCTTTTCTTCTCAGCCTGTCATCTTCACCTTGAGTGTACACCACTGTGTTGGCTCTTCTACACTCTCGAGGTATCCTGATTCTTGGCTGCTTGAATGACCTTCTCTTGAGAAAACAATTGGCGAGGGTTCAGGAAGATATTAAGTTAGCATGTTGCAGAGATTCAGTGGGATCCTAAATCTTCAGTCGCTGACTCCAGCCCATCACTTGGAATATCTGGATATGGCCCTGTACACTTTGCAGAGTATTCCTTTCCTAGAAGTGGTGGCAAACTCTCCAGAATGGTTCGTGCACTCCAGTCCAGGAGTCGGCCAACTCTCAATTTCTGCATAAGAGTCTTGGGTCTGATGGTGTCCACTTTTGAGGCAGGTTTGCGTTTTTTCTTCCAGTTCCATTCATAGAATCTTCATCCTGACAATTTAGTCCTGTTTCTGGTGTTCCTACCCTGGTGGCTTTAGAATCCAGCTCTCCTTCACTGGGAAATGGTGTGGAGTTTTGAAGCTTTGGGGAATTTGGCTCTCTTCAGTGTTGGACTGACGTGCTTTGAGGTTATCTGCTCCATATTCAGTCGGATCAACCATAAGGGAGGAACAAGAAATCTCACCATCTCAAGAGGTAGAGCAAATCCGGTCTTGGGCAAAACAACATGTTCCAGCTCTGTCCTCTTTGTATATCTTCGACATGTACAATTGGCAACCAGATTTTCTCAGCCAGCATCCAGAGGTGTTCAAGGACCTTGATCACGACAGGTGGGGACTCCAGATGTGGACCTTTGGGCCTCCAGATTCAACAACAATCTAGACAGGTGTGTTTCCAGCTCCTGGAATCTTCTGGTGGAAGCATACGTGGCTCTGTGGGATCAGAACACACTGGTCTATGCATTAGCTTCCCTGAAGCTGCTTCTTCGATTGTCAGGATGGTGGGCATTTTGCTGCTTCTCATAGCAGCAGGGCCCAGGAGAGCGTGGTACACCAACCTAAGACAAGACTTCTCGCAGACGCACTGTGGGCTCTGCCAGACTGTCCAGATCTGCTGTCCAAAAAACGATTTACCAACCTGCTTCTTGGTTGTTAGGTTTTAACAGCCATGCGGTTAAAGTTATGTCCTCTGAGAAAGTTAATCCTCCCACTTCCTGCTTGGGATTTAAATATTTTGTCCTTTCGGTACTGCGGAAGCCCCCTTTTAAATCCATCAGAGACCTCCCTCTTTGCTGTGACTCATAGGGTAGTTTTTTTTTTGCTCCTATCACCTCAGCTAGACAAGTGTCTGATTTGGCAGCTTCATCCTCTTTCAGCAACTTGTTTCTGAGATCGGGCCTGTCTATCGGCAGCTGTCATCCACCCACACCTGCTCCTCCTTACTTCTTCTCCCCGCGTCCCTGTGCTGATCGTGGATTCGGGCGGGTGAGCGTGAGGCGGGGAGGAGGTGCGGCTTGTGGAGCGTGGATGCAGGCGGGCGGGTCTGGTAGCGGTGAGCGTGAGGTGGGGAGGAGGTGCGGCACGCAGTGTGTGTGGAGCCGTGAACAGGGCCAACCAATCGGAAGCCGATTAATCGATGATTGAAAAGGTTGACAACTTTTTCAATAATCGATTATGTCGATTAGTTGTTGCAGCCCTAAAATAAACGTACAATTGGAAGACAGCTGGCGTATCAGAGGATATCATGGCATCTGAATGTCAGGTGCCTGGGCAAAATGAACGGCCAATTTGAATGGCTGCTGGGTTGGGTAGTGACAGGTCTGGGCAGTATAGCTGTGTGAAGCAGTATAGCCGTCCACGTACTCGGCTGGCCAGGCCGAGGCGGCTTGGAACGGGAGAGGAGCTGCAAACGGCTAAGATGTGCTGAACCGATTCTGTCTGGCTGGTATCTCGGGGGTGCGAGAGGTGAAATGCGGAAACAACAGTCAAAAGTGGTGGAGAGCTATGCAAGGGTGAGGGCTCTCAGTGCGATAACGGCTACCCGTTTCGAGGCACAGCCTCTTTGTCAAGCCTCAGGTTTTTTTGCAGATCATCAGGAAAGCCTCTTAGTCTCGATCTGCTTCTCCCCCACTTTCCTTCTAGGCAAGGCTTACTTCACCAGGTCTTTAAGTGCTGTTTTGGCATCAGGCCTTTATTTTCCAGGGCTATAAGGCTACCTGGTTTTCAGCTAATGTTTTCCAACATTTTCCAGGTAAATTTTTTTGGTCTGTTCTTATGCGAGTATTGGGCATAAGGTCCTTAAGGTGGCTCTTTGATCTGCAGGTAGTCCCCAGTTCCTGTTTATCTTGGGCCTGTTCTTGATTCTTAGCTGTTTCCCACCTCTCAGTTTAATGGCTTTTGGTCGTCCTGAGCATTTAAGACTTCTGTGTCCGTCAATAGATGAGAAAGAAAATAGGATTTTTGTTGCATCCATTGCAACGTGTCCCCACCCCCTGTGAAGGATTTTACATTGGGTACAAAATTTCTATTTTTATAGCACTTAATCAATGGCTAAATAATGTGATCACCAACTTTGTAGTCAATAGCTTAACATCTTTACTCTGACCCTAAGGGGTCTTTTTATAATCCATTCACAGAGCTATTTGTCCTGCATATCTGTGGGAAAGTTTGTTCTGTGTGAATAGAGGCACAGCAGATGTTTTTAGTATGTTTTCTTTCCACTAGATGGAGCTGAGGAGCATAGAAAAAAATGATTTCCTACGGGGGTGCGCTGATTCTGGTACCTGCATCCTGAGGTACCGTGGGCACCAGGGGGCTTCCTGATTGCCTGGAAGCCAGTGTTCTATCGAAAGACCCCTGGCTTCACCCTCCCTCAAGACACTGCAAGGCAGTCTGGCTTCCTGACAAATGGCTCTGCAAATTGAATATAAATATACCTCTACCTGTTAGTAACAGTATGCTTACAATGCATCTATTTCTCCATAAAGTCCATTAAAGAGAATATAGCATGTAACTCATTTAATTGCCTGTAATTTTAATACAGCATTCCAGTTCTAAAATCTTTTTGATTGTTTTCTTTTTAGGTGCCTTTATCAGGCACAGCACAACCTCAGGCATATGATGACAGCACACTCCCTCTTATTGACCGCAACCAACAAAAAGGTGAGTGTTTTTAAGACTGCTGAAATTTTTATTTCTCCTTTTAACTTCTCAACCTGTGACGTACATATGTCAGCGGGCACGTTTAAACAGACTACCACTGGCACTCTGTTTACATTTGTAGAGCCAGGGGCCGGCTTTACAATAGAAAGGGATTCTGGCGACTCAGCTGTCTCCAGATCACTTCTACAGGGCAGTAAACTGCCCGTCTCCCCGCCGTGTTTTCCAGGCTCCGCTGCCCATCCTGCGAGCCCAGGACCGGCATCTCTGGTGTCGGTGGGAAGCTGGGGAGGAGAGCGGCGAACATCCATTCACCCATTTCCTCCCCGTTCTATGGGATTGAGAGCGATGCAGATTACATCACTTCCGGTCCCATAGCTGTCATTGCTGGGCTCCCAGCAATAAGCTATTGAAGTGTGCACTTATTTAGCTTATTTAACCACTTGCTGACCGAAGTGTTAAACACCCTTCCTGCCCAGGCCATTTTTCAGTATTCAGTGGTGTGGTACTTTAACATTTATTCAGTCATGCAGCGCTGTACTGAAATGAATTTCATACAATTTTTAGGGGACAGTTAGAGCTTTCTTTTAGTGGTGTTTATTCACCACTGGGATTTTAGTTTTTTTACTGTATAATGAAAAAAGGAAAATAAAAAACGATTTTTCCCTACATTTATGTTCTAAAACATATATTATTACCCATTTTTTCAGTAAAATATAAAAGACAGGGTCACGTCGGGTAAAAAGACACCAAACATGTCAAGCTTTAAAATTGTGCGTGCCCACAATCGCAAAAAGCTACCATGCCTAAAACTGGCCGTAGGCAATGCTTTAAAAGCTTTTACAGCTCATGAGTTTAGTGTTATCCGTGATTGATGGGCCTAGAATTATTGCTCTCACTGCGACGTTCGTGGAGATATGTAACGTGTGGCGTAATCATTGTTTTTGCACGTAGGCACACCTGACGCGTGTTTTAAGGGCGGGCGACTTTTTGGGGGTGGTTTTTTTCTCATATGAGACTATTTTTTTTTAACTTTTTTTTTTTTTTTTTTTTTTTTACACTTGATTGTGACTTGATTGCTATCACATAGGGGGCTAAAAATCCCCAAATGTGATGGCTAGAAAAAAATGACAGGTCCTCTTTTTGGAGACATCAGGGGTCCCCAAAACCCCTAATGTCACCTAGGGACCCCCAAAGAGGCTGATGAAGCAGAGATCTGCTTCATCAGCTTCTTCTCTGGCTCTCAGCCAGATAAATGACAGCCAAGGCGGAAGTGATGTAATACACATTGCTTCCGACTTTAGAGAGAGGAGGAGGAGAGATCAGCAGTGGGGGAAATGCTGATGTCTCCTCCTCTTTACAAGCAGCCGCTGAACTGGTGTTCTTGGTCCCAGGCATCGTAGGGGGGACAACGGTGCCCGGATAATTGGCAGGGGGCGGGGGGGGGGCGCCACACACTGCAGGGATATACAAGCGATCGGCCGGCTGTAGAGCCAGCCGACCGCTTGTATGAAACAGCCAGTAACTGCTGTACACATTCCCGGCAGGATTTTGCTTGCACGTGCCCGTGAGCAGAAGAAAAATCACGTACATGTACGTCCACCCGCCGGGAAGGATCCACCGCCTGCCCAGCGTAAAAATTACTGGTGGACGGCAGATCCTTCACCCCGGGTGGACATACATGTACAAGGGGTTAAAGTGGAAATGTGATTAGTAGGGGTCTTTTGGACCACCACAATCACCTTTAAAGAGTACCTGTCACTGCCCATATGCTATCACATGGGGGCTTGTGATATTAAAGTAAAATAAAAATAAGTTTTAAAAAATATTAAATGAAATGTAAAAAAGAACACGCGTCATAACGTAAACACGAAAACGATGATTGCGCTACACATGTTTGGTATCGCCGTGCAGGCCCGAGAGAGCAATAATTCTAGGGCCAATATTTATTGCCTATCTCAAAACTGATGACCTGTATGGACTTTTTGGGGTACTGAATTTTGTCGCCGTTTCACACAGGCACACCATTTTTTATCTGGGCATGTTGGGCATCTATTTACTCGTTGTAACCTCATCTTTTATATTTTATAAAACTAATTTTTGGGGTTTGATAAGTTGCGCTAATATTGTGCAAAATAAAAATTTGCAACTGCCACCATTCTATTCTACAGGGTCTTGGCTTTCAGAAAATATATCTCATGTTTGGGGGCTTGAAATAATTTTCAGGCCTAAAATGTGGGTTCTAACGTGGGCGCAAAAAGTGAAAAAGGCCTCGGTCATTAAGGGGTTAAAGGGAAATGCCCCCCCAAAATGCGTTTAAACATGCATTTGCTACACAGTGTTATTAAAAATTACCTTTCCATTTAAAATTGCATTTGCTATAACTTGCTGTTTACAAAAAATGGTCTACCAAAAAAATGGCACAGTTGGTATACACAACTCCCCCAAGAAATGTAATTTTCGCCTTATGTGTTTGGTTGACTGATTTTGACAGATGTCTGCCCTAAGGTCAGGCTCACACCATTTTACGGACCAGATCTGGAAGGCGGTGCATTTAGTTTTACCACGATTTTGCTGCCGCTTTTTTTTTGCTTAAAATCGGTTTACAGGAGCGGTTCAGTGCCTTTTTGTATGTGTTTTTGATGTGTTCCAGTGCATTCTAGACCAGAGAAAGAGAGACCAGCATTATTCTTTTTTTTTTTTGGTCTGGAACAGAACAGACTGCGCTGGTGTGAACAGAGCTCAGAAATACCATAGGGATACATTAGAATGCGTTTTTTGGTCCAGGAACAAACTGTTCTGGACATGGTGTGAACAAGCCTTAAGATTCAAGTAAAATTTTGGGCATCCCTTGCATTTTTGGTGAGATGCTCTCCAAGGGTTATTTACCACTAAAGGTCCAACACTGCAGCTTTACAACACAGAAAATTCCCCAGGTGATTATAATGAATGCAGACCATACCATTCAGGGATCCGTTTGTAGAGGAAATACTACAACAAACAGGAATTTCTTCACAATAGGGTAGGAATCTGCAACAAAGTTTGTTAAAATCCAGGGTGGACTTGATTTAAATCAAGTCGATTTAAATCACTAGTAAAACGCTTGATTTAAATCAACTCGAATTAAATCGTCATTTTTAAAGAGCAACTGACATCTCTGTCCCGCATCGGCTCCTCTGACCCGCTGTTGATTCACCGACAGTCCCATTCACTTTAATGGGACGGCTGATGATGCGGCAGTGACACAACAAGATGAGGAACGTGGTGGCAGCAGGTGAGTGGATGCCTGCTAAGTGCTCTTTTAAATGTAAGGACTCATTATTCCTGGTAGTAAGAATCTTTACTATTATTATTTGCAAACAAAATGAAGGTTTCCTATTTTAGAATAAGCTGTCAGGTTAGTAAAACAGCGATATCCGAACCGATTTTAGGTTAATAAGTTAATCGCACATAGTTGAACTACTCACATTATGTTACATATTCTTGTATTTGCTTAAACATCAATGTTTAGTAATGTATCAATGCAGTGCATGTTATCTCAGCTTGCAGAGCTTGGATTCATTGAAAGAGTTTACTAAAAAATTTAAATATTGCGGAATATACAGCATCATGCTACATAACTAAGCTCCACTTCATGCTGAATTAACTAAATTAATAATGTATCTTAAATAGAAAACTATCTTTAGATAGATTTTTACTCCAAAAGCATTTTATTAAAGTAAATTTGATAAAAATCAAAAATCCGATATTTTTAATTATAATGTTGGGGGGTTTTAAGTAATTTTCAGGCCTAAAATGTGGAATATAACATGGGTACAAAAAAATTAAAAAAAGGCCTGTCATGAAGGGGGTAAATCATCGATTTTTATCCACCCTGTTAAAATCCTTGCAAGGTTCATTGATTACCCAGAGAGGATTGATTTTTCTCAACATAAGTGCACTAACTCTTTAACCACATAGCATCTGGAGCAATTTGTTTAGAATGAAAAAAAAAATGTGCTAGTTGCAGTTATTTGTTTGTTGCAAGTTATGTGCGCAAACGTTTGTTTTATTTTTAGGAAAAATACACTAAAAAAAATTGATGTGCACACAAATAGAATAAAGTAGCCTAAACTTTTTCACTGCCATTGACCTATGTCATGTGGAGGCTGGGCCTCTGGCTGTTGTAAAGGCGGCTGATTGCATACAAATGCCTTACATATGCCCCCACCCAACACCCCCACCTTGCTTCCCCGGGCTCCTTTGCCCCTCCTGCAGGCCCAGGATTGGCATCGCGCGTGTCGCCGGGTAGCGAGGAGAGAGACCAGCGAACATCAATTCCCTGATCTCCTACCTGCTGAATGAAACCGAAAGCGATGTTGATTACATGCCTTACTGTTTCTGAGCGGTCATCGCATCAGCTTGATCAGCTTCAGTGGGCTGCAAAGGTGAAATTAAGGGGCCATAGACCCCTTGTGTCACCTTTTATAGAGAACCTGTCACTAGTGAGGGGGCGTTTAAGCCTTTGTGATAGCAATGAAATTAGGTTTAATAAAAATAAAGTTAAATGAAATTTA